TGTGTGTGTGTGTGTGTGTGTGTGTGTGTGTGTGTGTGTGTGTGTGCTTGTCTTGTCACAATGACAGTGTGGCATCGTGCACGGGCAAATATAATAATATGTACATACATATGAGTGTGTGGCGGTTTCCAGTACAAAGTGATTGATTAAGGAATTAACAACTAAATTATGAGTTAGTTTGATGCTTATTATGGTGGCACGTTGCAAGCGTTGGGCACAGTCTGCTAAAGCACTGGCACTGAGCGACACAAGCGGCTACAAAGGCTACTCTGACCTGCAGCTTCAGCCCACAAGCAACAAGCAAGCTGTCCATGGTGTGTTCGCAAACATTTCTTGCTCTTAGTAGTTGGCAGTGTATGTCGAGGGTCTTTAAAAGCCCCTGTTACACGCAACAATAAATAGTATAAAAACTGGATGATGTATCGACCATGAAACAAATCGCCAGGTGTAACCACAAAATTGTACAAAGTTTGGACGATTGGGACGATGGCTTGGAGACTGTCGAGAAATTAAGCGCAGCTTAATATTTTCCGTGCGCTCACGGTCATAATTTGGGGGGAGACGCGCTGTGACGTAGAATCTCCCTGATCGAAAGAAAACAGGACGATAGATTGGAACAGACTACACAGCTCGAAACGGACAGTTCTCGCATAGGACGAATCTGACACAATTTATCGTTACGTGCAGACTGTCGATTATTTTGGAGCTGTGGGTGTTTTGTGTGCGGGCTGATATCACCCATAGCGTGATTCCTACCAGGTGCTTGAATTGTATATTACGACTACAAGAGGGTTATTTATTAACTAAAAAGTCGTCCTCAAAACTGTCACTAACGACATTTATATATCACCACGCAGTTGATGTTATTTGTAGAGAGTGACATAATATCTTGCATTGTATATTTTTAGTGAACACATTTTCAACCTCACTGCGAGACTGTTTTTCTGGTATAAAATTTTACACATATGCATTTATATTATATGTATAATACTTTGTTTTACGTATACATTTGTGTCGATTAATTTTTAAGATGTGATGTCTTTTTCATTGTAATGCGCATTGAGCATCTTTTAGGAAATGGAAATGCGCAGTATAAATGCTATTTATTATTATTATTATTATTATTATCTTAAATGCAAAAACTGAGAGCAGAGATTTGAGGAACATTACCAGAAGCGAAACAAAAGTTTTTATTGATTTTGTGCCAGTTGAGATATCTAGAGAAATGTGTGACAATTATTTCGAAGACTCTTGGTTGTTGTTTTTTACCAGAGTAAACCATCTAGTAGTGTATCAGCCTTGTTTCAATCAAATTATTTTTACTTGTTCTATTTGAATCGCTGTTAAATCTGACATTTTTCTAGCTCATACTAAGACTTATCCCATAACTTGTTAAAGGGGGCTCTCGTGGCCTAGAGGTTAAGGTGTTGGCCTCTCATTCAAAAGGTCCCGGGTTCGAATCCGGGTAGCTACCGAAACATTTTCTTCTCTAAAATTGTCTCCTTTCACCTTCTTTCCTGCTCTCTGGCAATGTTCTGTTGTCTGCTTTTATTTCCACTTTCTGCTCCCCACCCCCTCACCTCCTTTGCCCCCTCCTCTGGGCTCCTGACTCTTTCTGCAGCCTTTCTACTGCTACTCCTTGGCTCCTTCTTACTGCTGTCTTTCTGCCACACCCCTGATCTTCTGGTAGGAAAGATCTACACCTAGCCTTTTCGGACAAGGGCGAAAAATCTCGGAGGGCCCGTGTGCAAGTTGCGCACGTTAAAGATCCCTTGGTGGTCTAAAATCGATAAAAGTAGGCTTCGGCCGCCACCCGGGCAAAATTCAAAATTTCCTACCAACTGAAAATATTAGGTGTGTCCCGCGCGCTCATATGACCTTATGCAGTTTCGAGCGCCGTAAAACACTTTACAAAAACAAACAATAACTTGTTAACACCCTCCGTAAAAAAAGAATTAGAAACCCTGTTCTAGAGTACTACATTCGATACTTCTGCAGTGTGGGAATAATGTGACATGAAGTTGCCATCTGTAAAACCTAATATTTCCTCTCAGTTTGTAAAACTCCCAGTGTTACTTGTGCTCTTTAACAGGGACGAAGGGGTGGGGACCTTTTTCCTGTAAAATCTACCTTTTAAACCTCCGACAAGTGCACATTTCCAACAGCGATATACCAACGTCAATAGACAAAAGCTCCATTTCAAAGCTGTGGTGAGATCTCTTCGGTGTAATAAATAACACTTTTGTACTAAGAAGAGCGGCATAAGTTTCCGAACGCACTCTAGTCACCAATGGGTTTGGGTTTAAAGCCGGGGTGATAGCTGTTAGAAAACAATAGAGGAACTTACCCCATTTACCAGCACTTCTGGGGTTGTAGGGATAACCGGTGTGGGGGTATCTGTGTGCACCCACCAGTTCTAGCGGGTGTTTGTGTGTGCGTGAGTATGTTCGTGCGTGTGTGTGTGTGTGTGTGTTGGTGTGTGTGCGTGTATGTATTTATTTGTGCATGGTGTGTATTTATTTGTGCGTGTGTGTGTGTGTGTGTGTGTGTGCGTGTGCGTGTGTGTGCGTGTGCGTGTGCGTGCGTGTGTGTATTTATGTGTATGCGTGTGTGCGTATGTGTATGTGGGTATGTGTGTGTATGTGTATATATGTGTGTGTGGGGGGGGGCGTGCGTGTGAGTGCGAGTCGTGAGGAATGTAGGGAGGCAAAAAACGAGATGAGAAACAAACAAAGAAATCAATGAGCAGGTTGTCAACTACAATACATACATATTCTTATATCATTTTTGTCTTCCTTTCAGGGCGCAAGCATCACTTCTTGGAGTATCAATTACCAATCACTGCCCTCACTAGCTCTGTCTCCCTCTCTCGTTCTCTCTCTCTCTCTCTCTCTCTCTCTCTCTCTCTCTTA